CTATCCTGACGTGGCGCAGGGTTTTGGTGGTGGCGCAGGGTTTGGGGCGCGGCCAGTCCTAACGTCGCTTTCGGAACCAATAAAAAACTATCAATCAAGACAACAGCTGCCAGGGATTGGGTGCTGCCCCTAGCTCTGGGGTGCTATCCTGACATGGCTCCTGCTCTAGCCCGTGGGCTCTGGCTGCTATCCTGACGTGGCGCAGGTTTGGTGGTGGCGCAGGGTTTGGGGCGCGGCCAGTCCTAACGTCACTCTCCAATAAAAAACTATCAATCAAGACAACAGCTGCCAGGGATTGGGTGCTGCCCCTAGGTTTGGGGTGTGGGGTGCTATCCTGGGCTCCTGCTCTCTGGCTCCTATCCTGACCTGGGGCACGTGGGCTCTGGCTGCTATCCTGACGCGGCGGAGGGTTTTGGTGGTGGCGCAGGGTTTGGGGTGCGCCCAGTCCTAACGTCACTTTCGGAACCAATAAAAAACTATCAATCAAGACAGCAGCTGCCAGGGATTGGGTGCTGCTCTGGGGTGCTATCCTGACATGGCCTGCTCTAGCCCGTGGGCTCTGGCTGCTATCCTGACTTGGCACAGGCACAGGGTTTGAGGTTGGGACGTGGCACCTTGGCCGTGACGTGGGCTCTGGCTGCTATCCTGACGTGGCGCAGGGTTTTGGTGGCGGCGCAGGGTTTGGGGTGCGGCGCCCTTGGCCTCCGCTGGTTGCTGTGGGGCCGGGTTTGGGGCGAGCCCGTGGCCAGTCCTAACTCGCTGCTTTCGGACGTGGCCCCTGGCCCTGACCTGGGCTCTGAGTGGCTCCTGCTGTTTGGGTGCGCCCAGTCCTAACGTCACTTTCGGAACGAAGAAAAAACTATCAATCAAGACAGCAGCTGCCAGGGATTGGGTGCTGCCCCTAGCTCTGGGGTGCTATCCTGAAATGGCTCCTGCTGCTAGCCCGTGGGCTCTGGCTGCTATCCTGACCTGGCACAGGCACAGGGTTCGAGGAGTTGGGACGTGGCACCTTGGCCCTGACGTGGGCTCTGGCTGCTATCCTGACGTGGCGCAGGGTTTTGGTGGTGGCGCAGGGTTTGGGGTGCGGCCAGTCCTAACGTCACTTTCGGAACCACCAAAAAACTATCAATCAAGACAACAGCTGCCAGCGATTGGGTGCTGCCCCTAGCTCTGGGGTGCTATCCTGACATGGCTCCTGCTGCTAGCCCGTGGGCTCTGGCTGCTATCCTGACCTGGCACAGGCACAGGGTTTGCGGTTGGGACGTGGCACCTTGGCCGTGACGTGGGCTCTGGTTGCTATCCTGACACGGCGCAGGGTTTTGGTGGTGGCGCAGGGTTTGGGGTGCGGCCAGTCCTAACGTCACTTTCGGAACCAATAAAAAACTATCAATCAAGACAACCCGCCGTAAAACAACTCTGTGAAGCAGCGTCGAGCGCGACCTTTCTTCCGCTGTCGACCCTTCAGCCACGCTTCCAGCCGCCTGCTGTGACGGAAACGCCTCGGAAGCCTCGCGGCCGGACTGCCTAACTGGGAGACAGCCCGCCCAACGTGGCCACGCTCCCTCCAGACTGGCCTCGCCAGACCCGAAGACCAGCAGCGGGCCCGACGGAGGCGGTGTCGCCAGGCCCAAACGCCAGCACCTGCTGTGACGGAAACGCCTCGGAAACCGCGCGGCCGGACTGCTGTGACCGAAACGCCTCGTCGCAACCCATAAGAAAGTACTGAGAGACGGCCCTTGCCAGGTGCGAAGCCCAGCCAACGAGCGGCCTCGGACAGTGTAGTACGGACCCTTCGCCAGGCCACCTATATACTGTCACGGAAACGCCTCGGCGGCCGCACCGCGGGGTGCCTGAAGTCATCTTCGAAACCCAGAAGCAAGGACTGGGAGACAGCTTCCCAGAGCGGCCTTGGACAGCCCAGCACGGACCTGACGGAGGCGGTGTCGCCAGAACTCGGATATACCTTCTCTGACGCGCTCCCCTGCTGTCTCAGCGGGGTCGGCGGATATGTTTGTCAAATCAGGGGGAGATGAGATGTGTCATATGGTTGTTAAGTTTGCCTAAGAATCTAGGACCTAGGAACCAAATAATTCATTAGTGCACGGGCTATCCTGCATCCGTATGTACTAGCTTAAGTAGCTAGGAGCTTACTCCCTTACTTGCAAGTAGGCGCCTATTTAGTTATACAAGTAAGGGCGGGCTAAAAAAAGGTATACACTCCCTCAGTATACCATCCCTTTCTCACCGTTTTAAACTGGTCTATGAAAAAAACGCGCAATGCGAGCAAAAGAAGGATTTGCAACCTGCCACACGAGGTGAGAGAGTTAGCAAGAATACTGCCAAGCAAAGTTTAGCAAGTGGGTTCGCAAGGCTACATGTTCAAAATTCAAAAGCACAGCTAGGAATTCAAGCATATGTTTTCCATGCCCTTGATGCAGTCGCATTGGCCCTTTTAGTTCAGATGTGTGAGACACAATGTCTAGCAGTACGCTTTAGGACAAAAGTTCCGGGGTGGTTGAAGTGTAACAAGAAGCTATTATATAGAAACAAGCGCATTGTTTCTAGTAACAAGTGCCTTACTAGTAGTAACAAGAAGCTATTAGTAACAAGTGCATCGCTTCTAGTAACAAGTGCACATGACCGTGCGTTATTTCGATATTGAATATTAGTGGGCATATGAGATACTGTGCGTTCAAGTGGCCAACAGTTACGGGTGCGTGTGTGTGTGTGTGAAAGAAGACAGGTGAGCTAGATTCCATGTTCTCTTAGTCAGAACGAGTGGTCGTGAATCAAAAGAAGCAATCAAATACTGTAAAGGACTGGGTTCAGATCAAAGCTTGGAGGACGTGAGCCAATTCAATAATTCAATGTGTTCAAGTCCAAGTTGTAACAGTGTAGATACTGAAGCACAATCTAAATCCTTCTACAAGTAAGTGTTGGAACTCACAACCGCTCTTTCTTGGCTGAAAAGAATGACAGTATCAAGCAATGACACATCAGTTTCGAGCCTGATTGTTAATGTTTCTCTTCTGAACACTTACATTTTTAGTTGTCAACTCTTTTCCTTGGCCGGTCTAGCAAAAAGTAACATAGAATCATATTCGATAGCTGCAACTCTGCACTCTGCCGCTTCGGAACACTCCCTCATGTTGTGTTCAACAGAGTAAAACACGGGAGTGGTTTGATTGCCTGTCGTCAGGAAACAAACGTTGAATTCTAACACGATGTAATTACATGAAAAGCCTTTTATTTGTCTAGCTAGATTAGATCATTGTATGACATGAACAATATTTTGTTCACTTCTGGCGCCAAAGCATTTCAACAAATACTATTGGTATCAACCAATTGCTCACTAGCTGGTGCCGCCAAACAACAGCTAATTAAGGATTGTCATCCGAGTCTATCCTATGTATAGGGTATATTGACAACAGGACATTCCTGCTTTGCGGATTCTCATTGTTTGCTACAACCGTTTGAGGGCATCAACTATGAATAGCTGTCAACACAGGACATCTTTGCTGATCCACCAGCCAAAGAGGACTTGTGCAGAATCCGGCAGTTGCAACCCATTCCTCACAGCGTTTTGCAAGTACAATCCAAAGAAGGTCCTTGGTCAGACCGGCACTATGTCTTGAATACATATACATACATTCCTACACGTTCTATTGGATTGAGCAAGGGGTACCGAGAATTCGTTCAAGCTCAAGCAGTCCATGGTCCAGTTGGCGTGATGACCTCAAGACAATAGCGACATGCGGAGTTTCTTCTCCAAGAAGCGAATACTGAATTTCTTGGACTCACTGCTCTATTGGTGTCCACCTTTTAAGCACATGTGTGCTTCAGGGGGGTCAAAGGCAACCTCTGAAAAGTCGTCTAGTCAAGTCTATTCACTATTGGGTCAAGGTTAAGGCTTCACAAAAGGTTTGATTCATTGAAAAGACCCATTCGGAACATGGCTCTGGGTAGGAGTACATTTCAACATTTTAAGATTGGAGTTTAGGGTGTGCAGGGATTGCCGAACAGCCTGCCGGCAGGATTTGTCCTTGGTGATTTTTCTTGACATAGATGGTGTTCTTCGAAAGTCGGGAACTTGAGCCAACAAGAGCGGGAGAGATTTATCTGTTGGAGAGATGTCCAGATCAAGGTTGGAGAGCATCCCTACCATCACAGTGAATGGAGGCACCTTACCTCTTGACCTGCTCGAAGCCAAGCTTTGGCTTTGCACCGTTTCTGGTTCTCATTTTGCCAACCACTTTGCCAACAAGGGTTCTGACAATGGCAGTGGGTTTGGGGGGTTTTATTTATAGCGCTTTCAAAGCTTCATGTAATTTGAGGGTTGGCACCAATATTCGCAGGGGCAACCTGTTATGCACTTCAGTTTGTCGGTGCCTTTTTGCACTTCAGGGGCAATCGTGCGCTTTTGCCGGAAGCCCTGCGGGCGCTGAAGTGCGCCCTCGCGGTATACTTTTTGTTCAATCTCAGTGGTGCAACCTCTGGCTTGCAGGTGGTCATATAGCAGTGTTGGATGTGGTCCATGGTCTTTCGCCAGTAGGCGCACTAAGGCAATCACACCCCAAATGTTTGGCAAACCTAGTGATCTGTGCGTTTGGAGCATTGAAATGCCCGGCCCAGTCCGGTGGCAGAAAGCTGTGATACTTCCTACACTGCGTTCTCTACGTCGGAACTGCAAGGATAGACGTGCCCGTTGGATGCGTCGCCAAACCCCCTAGCTTGACATGGCACGAGAGGGTGTAATGTCATGTAATGTCTAAGTCATGTTGTTCCACAAGGTGCTCGTTCCCAAATGCGTGAGCTATCCTGCGTCCAGAAGCTAGCAGCTTACTCAAGCTACTAGTCTTACTTGATGAAGTAGGCGCCTAAGGACAGGAGCGGAGGAAGTCCGTCGTAGAAATGGTTCCACGTCTATGCATTATGCACGTCCCCTAAAATGCCCCTGCCCCTCTGAAGTCTGCAGAAACGCCACGTTGTTCACTTTGGGGAGGCCACCTGCGCGACGACACAAACCAAGGCACAAATGGGAACCCACACACGAGGTTGGCTTCGCCTCGGAACCCTTTGGCTGCACGTGTAGGCCTGCTTGCGGTATCCCCGTCCTCGATCGGTAGAGGTCATTGGCGGCGCCAAATGCCCTAAGCGAGCGTTGCTTCCGGACGTCCTAGGCCGATGGACCGGGCAAGAATTCCAAGTCGTCCAAACCCAGAACCACTTGAAGAGCGATGGCCTCCAACCTAATAGCGATGGCCTCCAACCTACTAGCGGTGGCCTCCAACCTAGAAGCGATGGCCTCACACCTAATAGTACAAGTGCAGCGCCCTTCCACTTCCATTCTTCAGGTGATGCCTCGCGGTTTTGCTGTTTTGAAGTTGCACACGGTCTCCCACCGATCCTGATGTGAACGCTTGCAAAGCAGCGTGAAAAGATAAACACAAACACAACAAACACTATAGAGGCAGTACTGAAACCGCATGAATCCCAATCATGCGGCGACCAGAGTAGAAGCTGCATAGCTGCCTCATGCCGTCTCCTTCAGTCGAGATGTTGCTTTGCCGAACACAGCCCGCATTCTTGGCCGCCTGAATGAAGCAAAGAAGGGCCAGTCGACCAAAGCCGCTCGTTGGGACAAGTTTTATGCGAGCGTTGGACCTGCAGGTACATAAAGTAATCACGCACCAAAACAGGCAGATGCTTGGATCTTACATGCACTTTGGAGTTGGTTGTCAGGAGGCCTGGTTCAATGTCCCGCCCACCCTCCCCAGTGGGAGTGAGTGGTTGGCGCCACAAAACAAAGCGGTGAAGATCTTCTACATTTACCACCCCAGAAGTTGGTTTAACATGGTTTAATTAAGTTTAACTGAACTGGGTAGGCCTGCTTTGCTGCAGGCTACTCAGCATTTGTCTCGCCTAAAAGTGCCTTGCAGGGCTTGGGTTCCCCCCAACGTGGCTGACTGTGGAGATTGTGATTTCATCTAAACATTCACCTTCGCCTTCTTGTGCAACTTTAAACTGGAAGGAATCTTGGAGAAGTGCATGTGTGTGTGATATCTCATTGTTGTTCCGTTGACTGAAGCTTGCCATTGCAAGTTCTACTTTGGGAGGTACTTGGTGCACATCACTGGTGCTGGAGCGGAGACCCAGAGCCAGCAGTGAGCCATGCGTGATACTTTGTGATGAGCGTTTGACAATTGGCAAACAAGCTTGGTAAGCTGTTCGCTCCTTTCCGAAATGGCCCTCGTGCGAATCAGGGTCTTGGGATCTTGGGAGCACATATGGCATAAGACGGCCTGACAGATGAATGTATAACTGACAGGCTTCGCCAACCGGCGACGCCCTTGGGGGGACTGCGCGTATCTGGAGGCTCCTTGCACAGCAAAATGCGACGATTAGCGCAGCTTCTTACGCCTACACACTCCCACACAGGTGTGCGCACCAGGGTCTGATGGAAAAGGCAGGCAACCTCAGCTTCAGACACACGTATGCACATGCACACCCGCACATGCACCCACACACGCACTCGCGCACACTCACTCGCGCACACGCACGCACACGAGAGCGTGCCCGGCCCGCCCGCACGCACGCACGTGCGCACGGCTTCTTCAAATATCAGGTCTTTGTCTTTGTAGTGGAAAACGCTGTAAAAATTCTATTTTGGAAAACGCTCAAAAGTACAGTCTTTTGCAGTGCTTTCGACTACAAAGTCCTGATATTGGAAGAAGCGATATAAGCCCAGGCGGCGCTAGAAATGTCGGCCGCAAACCGACATTTGGAACATCACCGGGACGTATGTATTTTCTTCAAATAACGTCAAGAACACAGGAAACTGATTTAAACAATTGCTGCTGTAAAGCTTTATCTCTAGAGAAGAAAGTATGCTAAGGGGAGAGGAAGTTTTGAGGTAGCAGTTGTGTCGAGCACAATTGGCCTCACCAGAATACGAGCAGCGTTGTTCATGAACTACGTACATGTTGCAAAAACTGCAATTTACAGTGTTTTCTGCCTAGTCGTGCGCCATTGGTGAAGAAGACATGTGAACTCTTGGGACACACTTTGCAATGTGGTTGGTGAAGAAGAGAACTACACGTCAGATTCTGAAGACCAAGAGAGGATTGACTTGAGATTGTGGAGTGCTCCTGGGAGGTGGCAAGAAGGAGCAACAGATTGGCAATATTGGTCGAATAGGTCCGGCCTAAGCTTTAGAGATGTGGTTGGCCCACCATGGGGCGAAGAGATCGAAGGGGAGGCAGAAGAGCAAGATGGAGAAGTGAGAAGAAGCACGTATACAGATGATGATGATGGATACATCCATGAGACCGAAGTGCGTGTGAGAATGGTGAGAATGGAAGAAGACTGAAGAAGATGAAGATGAAGGAAGTGAAAGCGAGGTGAACACCGACTATGGAAGCCTTGCTGAACACTTGGAGGATGACAGGGAAGATGAGCACATCAGACTCGAAGGAGAGGAGTACCAAAGGTACGTACGGAATGGAGATGATCGAGGTGTATCTGATTCTGATCATGAAGATCAGAGAGTTCAAAGACATGATCGTAGAGGACCCTGGAGATGAAGACTTACCTGAAGGCCTGAGAACCTTCAAGAATCTCCAGAGGATCATCATGGTCCGCGGTCCAGAAGGAAGGAAGATGGTGATAGATCACCTGAGATGCGTGAGGCAATACATCTTCCACTTCCACGTTCGACGGGGAGATGAACCGATGGACCTCTCATTGGGAGAAAGTGAGTACGCAGATGGTTGGGCGGCGGCTCATTATGGGCCACCATTGCCACCAGACGAAAATGAAGATACAAGATCTCAGCAAGAAGGTGAGAGTGATGAAGACGATGTGATGTCACCAGCGGATGAAGAAGAAAGGGCAGTACCAGGTAGAGAAGAGCTTGATGAACCTGAGCCGGAGAGCTGAGTAAGTGCGTCCACAGGATGAACACTGAAGTAGCTCGACGGCTGGAAACTTTCAGTACCTGCAGTCGAAGGCAGGGTGTAAAGCAGTCGCCCATCGTGCGCGTGACCTGCGCATGTAGGCTCGAGTTCCCTTGAAAAGGATTGCGTTCAGTTGTGCTCGCGGCATTTTGCATAACTACTGTTCCATTTTTGCCAAAAAGTTGAAGCAAAATCCCTGCAACAAAAACTTCCTACAGATCCGGGCAAAACAGTTGAAACAACTTCCCTGGGATCAAACCTGCCGGCAAGATCAGGGGCAAGCAGTTGAGGCAAATATGCTGCAACAATAATTTCTTGCGGAACAGTGACAGGCAGTTGAAACAAATTCCCTGCGACAAAAGAGGTTCTGCAGATCAGGGACAGGCAGTTGAAGCAAATTCCCTGTGACCAAAAATTTCCCGCAGATCAGGGACAGGCAGTTGAAACGGCTTCCCTGTGACCAAAAATGTCCTGCGGATCTGGTTCAAAAAGTTAAGGTTGAACGCGCCAACCTTACTTCTGTAGAAAAATTTGCGGCGGATTTGGCGGGACTTGCTGCAAATCCGGGCCTCCCAACGGTGCTGGGACAGATCTGCTGCATCGTGGTAGTTGAAATGTTGATTACCACAATGCGGCAGAAGTGATAAAATATACAAAATACGGCGAATTTGGGCGGTTCTGCTGCATCGTGGCAATTGAAACTTTCACTACCACAATGCGGCGAAATTGACCTCAGAGTGTTGGATTTTGCTCCTTCTGGACTCAGAAAACCGGTCATTCCAGACGGTCTGCACTTCACAAGGTTCTTTTCTATCGCTGCTCCTGCTCCAATTTGTGTTTGAGGGCTGCAGCAAGAAGTCACTCAGTTGTGTTGTTTTTTGGTGGCCTTGGCGCCCACCCACTGACCCACCGCCAAGGCCTACATGTTTCACTCATTTTGCTTTGACAAGTTTGCAACCACTTTCACACTTTCACTGTCAAATGCAAGGGCGCTCTTGCACCCCCAATACCGTGTAACTAGTTTTGTTTCCCTTGCTGTTTCCGTGGGTGGTAGCCCACGGCGGTCCATGACTGACAGGGTTTGAATCGAACCTCATTCAATTTAGTGTGTTTTCCTTTTATAAAAATTCTTGCCTCTCACATCGTAGCAGCAGATCGGGCACAAGCCGTTGTTGCTTCGCACGCACTGAGCCATGCACGGCTCATGCATCGGGCCGTGAGTACAAGGCAAGAACATCGCCCGGCCAGTGATGAGGCATGTCATATCCGGCCTCCGTGGCCGGGGCGGACCGGAGTCTGTGGCGCAGTCGGCGGCGCCAAAGTCTCGACTGTCAGAGGGCAAAAACGTCAGTCAGCGCCGCCGCACCGAAACACTCTCGCTGGAGGTTTGAACGGGGCTGGGGGCGACCGCTGACACGCAGGGCCTAACATCGCCTTCGGAACCGCGTAGAAGGAGGAGTGCAAGGAGGAGTTCAGGAACAGCCAGGTCGCTCCAAGAAGCAGGCTGCGCGCCCTGTTGGCATGGCGATACGGCCTGTTGGCGGAGGGCGAAAATGACGCCGCCGCGCCGAACCAGGGCCGACCGCTGACAGAGCCTAACGTCGCCTTCGGAACCGCGTCGAAAGAGGAGTCCAGGCCAAGCCCCACATAGCTGCAGGCGTGCTCGGGCCACACCAAAACCTCGGTCTCGCCGGGGCGAAACAGGACAAGGCTGAGGTAGAGAAGGAACTCTTTAGTGACCGAGAGCAGAGGGGGCTACGGTTGTGTGCGGCTTCGGTGGAAAGCGCTTTTGCGTGAGTCCGTGTCCTGGGGGGAGCGGATTCATATTAGCAAATAGATAGAATCGATCGGATGCTACTTCTCGCACGCGCACTTTGCAGCAGCACGGACTCACGCCAAGGTACTTTCCTCCGAAGCCGCGCTTAAAGCTGCGTGGCACAGCGACATCACAGACGGAGTTTGGCCACATGGCGCGCCGCAGACTAGATATAACAATGTAACACCAAGCAACCAAGCGCCAATCATCACGCTCCCCAGCGACGCGATAAATTACACGAATTTACTGTATAATTGAACTTACACCAGCATGCTTTCCTTTCGCCAATGGCACGGACTCACGCAAACGCACTTTCCACCGGAGCCACACAAAACCGCATGGCACAACGACATCACAGAAACAGTTTGGATACACGGTGGTGCCACAGAGACTAGATACAACCATGTAACACCCAGCTTCGTGTCATCCCCTGCATCTTGTTTATTCCAAATGTCAGCATTGTCAGCCTCGGACGATACACCGTACTTCTGACAGCGCATTGTTGGTGTGAGGCAGAAGCCAGATCTATGATGCGCTTGATTGTCCAAATCAAAGTTGGAACCTTTGGAACCAAATCATTAAGGTTCAGGTTTATTCAAAAGAAGCTCCCCTGCGCCCTCAGGCGGAAAGTTTCCCCGAAGCAACTTGAATTCTTCCCCGTGTGATGCAGTTGTTTTTCAAACTTAGTAGCTACCCCTTACATTTTCTTATTACTAGTTATTTGTAAATTATGTTTACGCTATTTATGGCCTACTCAACCTCAAACGAAAGTGTTTGTGCTTTCGCTTGAGTTCCCATAGGACCTGCTCGTCAAATTCCAAACATGTTGCAACAAAACCACGTGGACTTGTTGAACAACATTGCGAAGAGGACCATACTTCAACTGTAGCGAACTGAACTTATGGCTGGTAAAACCATAGCTACTTAGCAGAAGCTAGCTAGACATTATCAGTTGCGGTCGTGATACTGTCGTGGTTCGATTTTCAGACATGCCCTGAATTGGTGAGGAGTTGGAAGTCAAGAAATGTTGTGGAATTACGTACCTCCAAAATTGCAATGGCCAGTAACAGCAACGAGTAGAACATGTTTCAGTTTGCATTCTCAAGCATCAATGTTTCCTCGCCATCGATTGGATGCTTACTTCTACAGACATATGTCATGGACGCTCCAAGTTCATCGCAATTAGCCAAAGAGCCAGAGTTTTGAACTCGTTTGGTCAAGGATGACTGTGACCAGAGTGATTTTTCCAATGACCAAGGTCAACAAGTCTCAGGGACATTGTAGTTTATATGTATAATTATGTAATGTAGAACAAACTTCTTGATCACGCCAATGTTTAATTTAAAGCAAATAGTTGTATATACATTTGTTTTTTCCAAGAAGATGTATTAAGGCATCATAATATCATCAGAGTGGCGGATTAAGGCATCATAATATCATCAGAGTGGCGGAGGAGTTCATCTTTGCTGGAAGAGGCTGGTTCTGGCTATATAGGTTGCAGCGGTTTGCAGCCGTAGTAGCATTTGTTTGCTTAGGAGGTCTTCCATGCGCAACACACATCGGATGGCATCGACACATAATGGCTCACAAGGAATCAAGGTGAGAAAACGATTGTTTTCCATGATTCCATGGTTTTCACACCTTAGACACAACTAGGGAAGACTCCACGGTTAGCCGATCAGGAAAGATTCTGTTAAACATTTGGAGGCACAAACTGCACTCCGAGCACTAGGAATGCCTTCACCTCAGCGCTTACAGTGCTTCAATTTGAGAATACTAGTGCAGGAACTTCGCGTAGTGTAACTGTAACTTCTGTTTGCCCCAACCTTCACAGTTTCACTTTGCCTCTAATTTCATCATCTATGCCACACCAAACTGTGTGATTGCAATTCGTTTTGTTCCATTGTTGAGCTTGTTTTTGCATGTTACTGTGACCTGGCTTAGGCGCGTTCGAGGGGTCACTCCAGTCCTGCGGCCAAGGGAGGACAGCGTGGCCGTTTTAATTGAGCTATTGGCAAACCTGCCTTGTAAGAACACCTCATGGGCAAGCTAACAAACGTGTTCCGACGTGTCAACCAATGGTACATGAAGACAGATTGTTAATTGTGGGTGGTGTTTTGCAGATTCTCACCGATACAGCAAGCTCCTTCGTTCTCGACTTCTAGCCCGGAACCACGATAGTTCCTCCAGTTTTGTCCTCCACAAATCGTGGGGGGGGGGTGAACCACCCCCCTGTGTTTAGTAGGGTCCTAGGTCCCCCTGGGCGTGTCTACGCTATACGTGTGTAGCACCTGTTCTTGTACATACATTAGTCTGTAGCTCTTCAGTCCGCTTTCGACATAATTCATTTGGCTCAAGACTTAGCAGCCCATTACTGCATTCACTGCCATAGAAAAGGTGTGCTTCGCCGCAGCTCGCACACCGACCGCACGTGTTTGACTGCTTGGTGTTTCGATCAGGTCCAGTTATCCAACTGCCACTTCTGGGGGAACTTACCCCTCAAAGTGGTAGCGGAGCTTGTGTCTCCTGCTTTGCATTGGTCGATTTTGCCTTCGTGCTGAATCGTCCGATATTCCGGACAGGGGACAACCAAGTAAGTCACTTGTCAAACAAATAGACCATGGTCCAGATCTTTAACATAGATACGGACGAAGAGCATGACAGCGACCTATCTGAAGTAACAGATCCAGAAGAAGCTTTCGCAGCTCAGGGTTCGCGTCATCGCCAACAGCATGGAAGGTCCTCGAGTTCGACATACCGGACGTACGAGGCACAACCATCAGCAGGTGTCAAGATGACGCCAAAGATTCCTCCGTCATTCGATGGACAGTCATCCTGGTTCGAGTTTGAAGATTTGATTGATGACTGGGTGAACATCACCACATTAAGCGCCGAAAAATTAGGCCCATCATTGAAGAACGCTCTAACCGGAAACGCCGAATACTACAAGAAAATGCTCGACAATGAACAGCTTCGTCATGAGAGAAACGGTATTACGTATTTCAAGGAGACGTTGCGCCCATACTTTGTCAAGGGAGCAAATCATGTTTTTCTTTGGCGTTTCACGCAGCTCTTCAGGACCTGGCGCGGAAACGGGGAATTTGTCAGCTGGATCGCTCGTTTTGAAGTCGCTAGCAAGAAGGTCATGGAAGCCTTCATGGGCTTGTTAGATCTTTCGACTGTTCCACAGCCTGATGATTTCAACTTTACTGATATCCTCTCGCAACAGCAGTACATGCTACTTCAAGGACTTCAAGATCCCGCAGAAAGAAGAGAGAATGCAGAAAGAATCCGTTCTGAACACATTGATGCCTTGAAACAAGCACATCGTGACACCTTTCCATTGTCTGACAACTTGATGTCACTTATTTTCTTAGTTCAGTCGGATCTCAATGAACAGCAAAGGGAAAGGTTTGTAGCCAGCATGGCCTTGCGTCAGATCAACATGAACAACTACACATACCTAGGTGTCAAAGGCTTATTCCTTGATCTCTTTTGCGGAACCGCCACAGGAACTGCCGATCCTTCGATCCGCAGGCAAAGAAGATCCACTTTCCTTGTCCTCGATGAAGGAGACTTGGAAGAAGAATCCGGATACTGGGCGATGGATCAAGAAACAGGCGAAGAAGGATTTGTGAGTTTGTTCTCAGAGTCCGAATTTTGGGTGTTAGCAGCCAAAGGAGGATACACCCGTAGAAGAATCCATGGTAGAAGGTTCAGAAAACCATCCAAAGGCGGCAAAGGAAAAGGCCGCGGAAAAGGTAGAAGACCCGGCTTTGTCAGCCGTAGAGGCAAAGGTGCAGGGGCACATTATGCAGAGTACCCTGACAACTCAGGTTTCTATGGAAAAGGCAAGAAAGGAAAGAAAGGTGGAAAGAAAGGATTCAAGGGAAAAGATGCATTCAAAGGCAAAGGAAAAAGCAAGCAACAGAATCCCTTTCAACAATCCAATGTTGCAACCACCGAAGAGCCTTCATCAGCTCAACCATCCACTAATGCCGAAGAAACCTGGAGTGCACATGAAGCAAATTGGTCATGGGACTCGTATGGATATCACGCAGATCAGTACTATCCTGAAGATGTCTGGCAGGCAAATGAAGCCACTTGGCAACAATGGACATACTTTGCGGACGGACAGACGGACAGACCGCAAGATGAAGAGCACCAGAGCTCAGAGCGAGAGCCTGACCAGATGAACCAGTCAGCAGATTTCCGGTATTACGGAACACATGCAGAAGAAATGACTGGTGTAGAACATGTTTCACAGCCGTATCACCTAAACCCTGCCGGTAGCAGCGTACAGACTACCGACATTCCGGTTGTTCTGAAGTGATTGATCCACGCTTCTGTTCTTCTTTTGTCAACTTTGACGATGGATTTCACCATGCTTTGCTTTCTGAATACATCGACTTGAGGTACAGTCCGACCTACGTGATCATTGACAGCGGCTGTACCAGAGAAATGGGTTCAAGGACTGCCATCATGCGTCTAGTGAAGGCATGTAAGAGACACTACAATGCATCTAAGATTGATTTCTCTTTTGAGCCTTCATCAAGTCGATTCTCATTTGCAAACGGTGAACAGTCCAATGTCCGAGAGAAGCTGGTAATTTACTTTCAGAACGACCAGTCACCCACAGGGTGGATCACAACAGCGATAGATATCTTAGACCAAGGCGACGTTCCAATCCTTTTCAGCGTTGAGCAGCTCAGGAACCTTCGCATGTCTATTGAGCATACTCCAGTCGGTGACTATCTGACTTGTCCTTTGTTCGGTCTGAAGCGATTTTCGTTGCCAGTGAGCACTTCGAACCATAATGTCTTGGACATCATGATGTTTGCCAGCTCAGTTCGTAAGCCGAACCACAGTTTTACTGCAATCAATCCTTCGTATGGAGCCTGTCCTGCCTGCAGCGGAAAGCATCGCAAGCACACATACAAAGATGGATGCAAGAAGGCAGAGACATCCGAAGTGAAGGAAGACAAGTCAGCAGCCGATATTCCGGCTAAGAAGCCAGATAAGCACATTGCAAGTGGAGATGCCAAAGTCGATCCGCCATCGAAGCTCATTTCGATGCCTCCACCGGCTAAGAAGGTGACACCTCCGACATACCGGAAGACAGAGAAGTCACCTGATTTTGGTACACCATTTGAGCATTCGAAGATTCCAAGTTCAAGCTCAGGAGCCGAGAAGCCTGACGTACCTCCAGCAGAACCTGACATGCCGGTGAAGCCCGATCCTCAGGAAGAATCCAAGGAAGACGTGAAACCAATACCAACCACAGTGCATCGAGAGAAGAAGGCTCCTAAGGTTTCAGTAACCTTGCCGTTAGCATTGCAGAGAATCCATGAAAAGCTATCTCATCCAACTGAACTCTTGAAACTGCATTTGAAGCACTACCACATGTCAACTGAGCAGTTCAAGAAACGCACCTCAGCTTTGAAGATTCCTGCTAAGATCTATGAAGAGTATGAAAAGGTAGTCAAGCAGTGTGACACATGTCAGAAGTCCAAAGTTGCACCTTCAAGATCAAGAATTTCAGGTATGAGGAGTGAAACGTTTGGAGAACGCACCTTTGTTGATCATGGTGAACTAAGAATGACAAGTCCAAACTTCTTTTCCTGATCATCTATGACGGTGCTACTTCTATGACCACTGCTTACGTGTGTAACGGCCAAACTGAAGCAGAAACGATTGGCCATCTTTTGGAGTATTTTGAGACATACCAGTTGAATCCTAAGTATCTAGTCGGTGATCAAGGTTTCATGGGTACTGAACTTGAAGCCTTTTACAACAGAAAGAATATCCGACCGATCACTTTAGGACCTGGTACTCCATGGCCAAATAGAGCAGAAGCAGCTGTTCGCATGTACAAAAAGCAGATCACCCTGATGCTTAAGGCCGTAACTGAGGACCCATCCAGATACGAGATCACGTACCGTCAACTCCTCAGACAAGCATCACTTGCCAGGAACTCCATGGTCACTTTTGGTGGAGTATCTCCATTGGAGATGGCATTTGGACGGCGACCTGCAGATCTTTTGTACCCAGAGAACATGACACCGGAACAGCTTACAGCTTCTCTTCCTTCTCCCGAGAAAAATATAGATGAAGCAAAACAATCAGATGATCTGAGAAGAGATATTTCTGCAAGACTTCAGTTGAGTGATGGTCCATTTTACCCTGGTGATAAGATTTACTATTGGACAGAAGATAAATCCAAGGTAAAGTCTGATGGAACCCACAGTGGCAAATGGATCAAAGGCAAGGTCATTAGTTCTGACGGCAGTATGGTTGGTATCGATTTAGGCACCAGAATTTTGAAGGTCAACATCAGCAAGGTCCGTAAGGACATCAATCCGATCGAAGATGTTGAGGTGCCACTCGACCCGGTTGCACTTCTGAGTTCTGAGAGTGCACGGACCGATATTCCGGTCACTGACCACGCAAGCTCTCTAGTTCAGAGCGACGGAGCCCAGATCGGTGTGGAAGGCTTCACATATTCCTCTTATGCATGGCAACCTGCCATGACTGGCAAGATTGATTTCTTAGAACTGTTCGCAGGTTCAGCACGGTTGAGCCAAGTTGCTGCCATGAATGGTTTGCGTGTTGGACAACCTATTGACCTGAGAACCGGATTTGACATCTTGACCAGCGACGGACGTAAGAGGACGATGGACATCGTCGAGAAACAGAAGCCTAGAGTCATCTTTATGGCGCCGCACTGTGCTCCTTGGAGTCAGATGACCAATATCCATGATCGCGCAGCACGAGATCAGCGCAGACAGAAGTTTCTTCCAATGTTGGAATTTTGTTGTCGTGTTGCCATATTTCAGATTGAACACGGAGGCCATTTCATCATTGAGAATCCTGCCTCATCAGATGTTTCCAACGTCTTTTGTCACAACGCGGTGTTACCTATGGCACTCTTGACATGTGTTCATTTGGAATGAAAGACCCTAACGGCTATTACTACAACAAGCC